CTCCCGCTGGTTACTCGCGCGTAGTGAGGATGAGGATGCTGGCTGGTTGGACTTCTCAGCCTCCCGCTGGTTACTCGCGCGTAGTGAGGATGAGGATGCTGGTTGGTTGTGCTCCTCAGCCTCCCGCTGGTTACTCGCGTGTAGTGAGGATGAGGATGCTGGCTGGTTGTGTTCCTCAGCCTCCCGCTGGTTACTCGCGCGTAGTGAGGATGAGGATGCTGGCTGGTTGTGTTCCTCAGCCTCCCGCTGGTTACTCGCGTGTAGTGAGGATGAGGATGCTGGCTGGTTGTGTTCCTCAGCCTCCCGCTGGTTACTCGCGTGTAGTGAGGATGAGGATGCTGGCTGGTTGTGTTCCTCAGCCACCCATTTGCTTCGCCTCGCGTGAGCTCTGCGTTTGCCGTCTAATGTTCTCGCTTCATTGCCAGGGTCATTTATATGTGATATTTGCCAAGCTGAACGCAAGAGAAACCTGGTGGACTTTGCAGCACACGTGAAAAAGCGCTACAAGCGAGCGTTGCATTCTACCGACCGGTCTCGAATACAGGGTTCTATAAGAAGTGCCTCAAAACAGTGAGTATGAAGTGACGGGACGTCGCAACGATCAGCAAGGATTCATTCATCACTCCATGACATCGAAAAATATGATATATGAAAGCTCATATATGAATCGGCTCATATATGAAAGCTCATATATGAATCGGCTCATATATGAAAGCTCATATATGAATCGGCTGATATATGAAAGGTCATATATGAATCGGCTCATATATGAATCGGCGTCGCTTTTTTTACACTAAAGGATTATGCTATACGATGCAGTGTTTCCCCCACACATCGATCGTAATGTGTTATGTATAACGCACATACCACACACCGTACTGCACATGCACCATGCCAGCATACAACCGTGTGAGCGTGATGTGTGTTTGCCTCTCTAGGACATGTCCGACAACAGGATCCGATGGCACAGGCAATGTAAACAGCCGCAGCCCACACCATCACATGTGAGTAGTACCCACCCAGCACCACTCTCTATCGGCAGCCGTGAGGCCATAATAAAAATATTGTTTGTTTGCCCTCACCCGACCTACCCGCCAAAATGGGGCCGACTCAAAAAATTTGTATTGATCTTTCACATTCCTTTTTTTATCACTGTACATTATATAAATCTGTAGTCAATACATTATATGTACCTAAAGCAAAACAAAGCATTTGCACCATAAAAGGCAAAGTATGCGGCCACTAGCAAGCGACACGCGAGCATGTAGCCTACGCAATGGCTATGAATTGTAAAATAGAGCCCCCTCGGAAAAAAGGCCTACCTCGCTAGCCGCTGCAAACTTTTCGAGGCCTGGGTCAGCTGCGGGCAAGCAAAAGATGTCGTTTTTAATTGGTGGCTTTTGGGGTGTATGTGGTCGCTGCAGCAGAGATGGCTAGTCAGTCATGGCCGGTACGCAACAGGGGGCAGCAGGGGCGGCAGTTGGCGCGTGCCTCAGAGATTTTTTAGAGTATCATATGGCGCTTTTATTAATGGGACATAATACTTTGTAAACGTTTTAGAATATAAAATACGAAATGTTGACAAAAGGTTATCTTAAATGAATCAAAGAAAGTATTAACAGGTTTTTAAATAATAGAAATGTTGAAATATTCGGCGGAACGTTTAGGGCACAGGGGGCATGGGGAGTACTGTTTTGCCCCTACAGTAAAAGTTTCGTGCGGCGTACGGGCTTGGGGCTAGCAGTCAGTGCAGCGTGCGTGCGCTAACAAGCGACGCGTGGCGACAGTTTGTGTCAGCTGGGTAGCAGGCACCGATTTTACGTTGGCGAATTGGCGAGCTTGGACGATTTCGAATTCGGGCAAGTCCGACGTTTGTGCGTAAATAGAACATGGTTCTTAATCCTTCTGTAACTAGTTGGCTATCGATGCGGTGGTCGCGCAAGGCTTTTGCGTTTTACACTGCGATTGTGCGTTGTGTAGTTTGGGGAAGTTGGTCTAATTCGCCCGCACTACAAGTTAGTAGTGTCAACCCAGCTTTATATTAGCTGAGTGTAACAGTGTGTATGTGCCCTACAATACAGTATGGCCTCGAGTTTATAAGTAAAGGCAGTATGGCGCATTGTGTGAGAGGGCTCGTATTAGGTGTAAAAAAAGTTTTAAAGACTACGGCGGCTGTTTGTAGGGGCTGTGTGCATAGGTGTGTCTAATGGTTTGCAGCGGTGCCGCAGATCGCGTGTCGTAGCTAGGATTGTGGTCTCAGTGTTTCAGGTCCGGAATCCGTGTGTAGCTGTGTAGCTAGGTGTGTCAGTGTTTCAGGCCCAGAATATGGTATTACGAAGCCTGGAGCCCGTTTTGTGTCAGAAACATAAATTAGGCTATAAGATTTAGTCTTGAATCAACATTGTTTGGCCCTCGTAGAGCGCGGTGCGAGGAGCGCTCTTTTGTTTGTATTGTTAAGGCGAGGAAAATGCTGGGCTAGGCGATTTTTTTCATTCTCGTAACTTGCGCAGTGGTTTTTGTTGGTCAACGTGAGGTCTACCGAGAGAACAGTTTACTGATTAAGCTAATGTTTAGACTCAATGCGTTGACTGAATGTTAAGACTCTAATTGTTAGAGACTAAGTGTTAAGACTAATTTTGTTTCTGACAAGCGGGCTGGTGTACGGCAAAGTATGGTTAAGGCGTGAAACTAAACTACACGTCTGGACACGTGATGGCGACCGCGTCGCGCCGTCGCCGCGGCAACACCATCGTTACTAATCGTCGTGTGTGTGCGTGTGTCGTTGCAGGCAGTACGCGTGCCCGCGCGTACCACAGGACCAGCAGTCGCGACCGCAGCCCGTCAGACAGCGTCTCTTCAGCAGCACCGCAGCCGCCGCCAACGACGCCAACGAAAACGGTAGGGTGCCGCCACTGTTGCTACCCGCCCCCGCCGCCGCCGCCGCCGCCGCCACCGCGCGCGTTAATGGGGCGTCCGACGAGACGGAGATCGCGATAGATGCGAGCGCGTCGGCGCCACATGGCCGCCACGCCCCCTACCGGGAATTTCTCGAGAGCAGAGGCGGGGACGAGGAGGAGGAGGAGGACGAGGAGGAGGAGGAGGAGGATGAGGAGAGAAGCAAGCCGAAGGGGCTCATCGACGGCCTCTCGCGCTTCTTCACGCCGTCGAACTCGCGCAAGTCGCGCGTCGCCGTCAGCACGCGATACTCGTTCGTGCGGCCGCGCAAGACGCCGCCGCCCACCGCGCACCACCAGGTGGCGCCGTCGCCGCACCGAACTCCGGCGGTGTTCCACAAGTACACGCCGCCGGGGAAGAAGCGGACGCCGACGCCGCAGCGCGCCGCCGGACTGTTCGACGGACTCTCGCACCTGTACGAGACGACGACGACGACGACGGCGGTCGGTGGCGCCCCCAAGCGGCCGCCGCAGCACGCGTCGGCGCGGGCGGAGAAGCGCAAGCGCATGCTGAATCTCGACGCCGTGTCGGACTCGGAGGAATCGCAGGACGCGCCGAGCATCACGACGATGGACCAGAAGTCGCACGCCGTCGCCGCGTCGCCGCCGCCAGGGGGCGCCGTCGCTGCCGCCGCCGCCGCCGCCGCGGACGAGTGGTTCGAGTTTCCGAAGCCGGGCTACCGGCTGCTGGCGGCGGACGCAGCGGCGGCGGCGGGCACGCTCTCGAGGGCGCCACTGTTCCTGTCGACGGTGGCGCCGCACCGTGGTCGTGGTGGTGTACGCTGCAGCAGTGGCGCCCCCATGAGGAGTCGATTCGCGCGCTCACCGCTGTCGCCGCAGACGACGCGTAAACGCGGTAAGCCACGCGATCGGTGGCGCCCCCCTCCCGCAGCGGCCGCGGACAGGGGGCGCCGCTGTCGGCCGAGCATGGTAGACACGTAGACACTGCGCCGTACGTGCGTACGACGCCGTGGCTTTGCATGGCTGCGAACATACGGTAGATAGCACCTCTCCACGTGTGTGCCCTGGTCTCCCGCTCATGTCGTCCGTGGTCGTGCGTTACAACACTGGTACTGGTGGCGGTCCCCTACGCTATACTACCCTATGTCTGTGTGTGCACGGCTTAGTGTAAGTGTGTGTGTGTGTGTGCGCGCGCGTGCGTGTTCAGACGCACTGCATTTGCATTTGTGTCGCTGCTACGCTGCGGTGCGCGCGCACTCACACATGACACGGCTAACCTCCAACCGACCTCTCGCTTGACCTCTGGTTGACCTCTCGCACTGCGGCGAAGGTTCTTGGTTGGGTTATTTTCTACTTTTTACACAATTTATTTGCTGGTTGTAGCTTGGTGAAGGGGCTGTGCGTGCGTGCGGCGTGGCGGCAGGTGGCGCCGCTGTAGTTGTACGATCACTCGCGCATGCGCGCATGCGAGTGTCTCTGTCGCTGCTTGGGGTGGACTTATTTGCTGCTGTTGTATCACTCCTGCTTTTGCTGTGCTAGTTACTACCTACCGTCGTGCTAGACTGGTTCCCCGTCATGAACTTACAGCGGAGATGCAGTAGAGTACAGTGTAAATTGTGAGGGACGGGGAGGCAGTCTATCATCGGTGTGTATATCTGCTGTGGTGTGCTGGCTTTGGGTTTCAATGCTTGTCGCGTGTAACACTGCGCGCTCTCTCTCACTCACACCCAGTGTATTAGCCAGGAAGGAATATTGTGAGAGTGCAGAAAAAATATTTGCGAGTGCAATTTTACAAACGTACACGGCTTTAGATCAACATTTTAGGCCGTGCTACACATTTTTGGCCGTGCAGTTTCAAAACTGACCGTGCAAATCACGGCTACATGGCTCGCTGGCTAATACGTTACTCGCACCGCGATCGCGCTTATCGCTCCCGTGGTAGCAATCGAGAGAGAGGCCGAGCCGACGTTTTAATTAAATGAATTATATCGATTAATTCGAATAACATCTGATAAATGTGAGAAACGTGCTGATTGCCGTTTTTGTTTCAAATGTAAAACGTCGGAATTTAAAGAGAAATGTTTGTTTTTCGAAATGACTTCTGTGAGAGTAATCGATCGTAAAGTGAGAAAAATGCGGTCGTGAATTTTCGTTAGCATCTGATCGTCACGTCACGTCTTCTCGATCTGTGTTTGTTGTTGCTCGACCGTGTTTCACGCGCCGTCGTTAAACATGCTCTTGTGTTTTGTGCGCAGACTGCATGCCGATACTGGCGCCCCCTGTGATGCCGCCGACAGTGAGTCAGAAAGATGTCGACCTGTACCGCAAAGCTGTGCAGAAAGCGAAAACCGTGAGTGTGCCTACAGTAGCGCCACCTGGCGTCGCTCGTCTCGTTATTAATCGATAGTAATATTGATGGAATTAATTGATTGATCGATTGAAAAAAATTATTTTCATGATATTGAATTAATCAGTAATTACATTTAAATAAGTCGTTGTAGTTTAATTTCAAAAATTCCTTAAATTTATTTTTAGTAATTATAAGCGCGAACTATTAATAGCGTTGTTTGAGTTCCCACGTGTTTACGCGCGTTTGTTGCTCTCTTGTTCTTTCGCGTGTAGGAGTTGTACCCGCCGAAGCAGGAGCACGTTGGGGAGCTGGAGGTGGCGCCACCGTACCTGCCGAGTGCGGGCGCGACGCCGGGCGGCCCCGCTGTGCCGGGAAAGCTCGATCGATGTCCGAAGACGATCGAGTTTGGCATGTACGAGATCGACACGTGGTACTCGTCGCCCTACCCGCAGGAGTATGCAAGGTACGTCGCTGCCACCGCACCTTATCATCTGTTAATGTCAAATACTCCCTGATTTACTGTCGGACTCCCTGATTTGACATATGCAGGAGTTCGTGTGACTCCCTGAAAATTCTGCTATACTAACTACTAACTAGTTCGTTCCATGGCACGGCTTCGCGGAATTACCGTATTTTTACAGCAAATGTCCAAAGAAAATTTGGCAGACGTGCATCGCATGAATCTTCAAAATACGCACATGTATGCGTTATTGTTGTTATGCTTTAGTTTTGAACTTCAGACTGCAGACTCCCTCATTTTGCTGCCGAATCCCTCTTTTTGAGGGTAGGGTGTCCGTTGGACTCCCTTGTTCAAAAGTTAATTTCTTCCCGTGCACCTTCTAAGATGGTAAACCATTAGGACGTTCTTCCGTCTACATTCTCAGTGCACGTGCCAATAGGGGGTTCTGACGACGGGGTTTTTCTGAACAAGAGCGCGAGTCGCTGTGCGTCATCACGCGTTGTTTCGTTGCAGGTTACCAAAGTTGTTTCTGTGTGAGTTTTGCCTGAAGTACATGAAGAGCAGGAAAATGCTGGAACGACATACGGTGAGTGATGGCTGGTGGCGGTGGGGAGGCTGGGAGAGGGAGAGGGAGAAGGAGGCAGGGAGAGGGAGGATGGGAGAGGGTGAGGGTGCGGAGGGAGAAGGAGGCTGGGAGAGGGAGGGTGTGGAGGGAGAAGGAGGCTGGGAGAGGGAGAAGGAGGCTGGGAGAGGGAGAGGGTGCGGAAGGAGAGGGAGGGTGCAGAGGGAGAAGGAGGCTGGGAGAGGGAGGGTGTGGAGGGAGAAGGAGGCTGGGAGAGGGAGAAGGAGGCTTCGAAGCAATCATAGGGGGCGCCAGAGGACGCGTAGATGGTGGCGACGTCGTACGGGCCAGGATGAGGCTTATTACGTTCAGTGAAGTAACGCAATCAAAGCTTGTTTGTTGTACGTAATTGTAGGGATCGTGATATATTAAGTTAAAGTTAAATCCTTCCCGTAGTAGTATGTAGTAGTCATGATATATTAGTAGGCAATTATTTGTTCAGGAAAAACAGATTTTGCGGGTAATGTCATAGAATCATTAGATGCGAATTTAACTCCTTGGAACTAAAGTGATTCGAGTTGTTTTTTGGTGACTGCAGGTGGCAGTAGTGTAGTGTTGATGTTGGCATAGTAACAGCATCAGGTGTGACCGGCTCATGACACTTTGATGGGGGGGGGTGTAATACTTGTTGGTAGATTACAACGATCGATGAAGCCGAGTGATCGTTAGCGTTGTAACCGTGGCGATAAACGATGTGTTGTGAATGTGTCGATAATAAGCGTAGGGATTGTTTTGATTAACGTCACAGGGGAAACGAAAGTTATTTTGGCAGCGGCGTTAATTTTCGTGCGACGAAGCGCGCCCGATGTTGCCATGCCGACATTACCAGCTGCCTGCGATGACATCGTAGAAAGAAGACGGTCCGCTGTGTACACATTTATAATCAGAGAGAGAATGTATCAGAATTATTACAAGTATTCATTGTGTATATTGTTAATTGTTAGGGCGTGTTTGTTTGGTCGGATCCACAGATCTCGATCCAATGGATCGAACCGTAACCCAAACAAATGCAAACTCACTTTCAACGGTTCACGTTTCGCTGTGACCTATCACGTGATGGTTCATAACAAAGAACAAGCCGTGATTGGCTGAGGCGCGGGCCGCCATATTGGATCCCGTTCGAATCCACCTCGCTAGCAGGGTCGGGTTCGGTGGATCGAGATCCCTGGATCCGACCAAACAAACAGTCAGATCCATGGATCCCGTGGATCGAGATCCGTGGATCCGACCAAACAAACAAGCCCTTAATCACAATTAAAGTGTAAATTGTTCACGCATGAAAATGCCGGGTCATCTATCGTAACGCAATCGCCTTCTGACAGCTGCTTGCTTGTTTGTTTACAGGACACCTTGTTTTTCTGTGATGCCTGTGATAGGGCTTTCCACCAGGAATGCTGCAAACCTCGCTCGGAAGCTCCACCAAAAGGTATGGTCGCCATGGTTACGCGTCCGTGCATGGGGGCGACGGCGTGCGATGATTGCCGTCGCCTCGGCAACAGCTCTGCGTCTGTCTATGTGTTTTTTTTTGCGTCACGGTGTTTAGCATGTTCATGTGTTCACCGTCTATGTGTTTGAAGGTGGAGGGGGGGGGGGGATACACTATTGGCTGGTTCTTCTGCCTCCACATCTATGCCCACTGTCCGTCCTTCCCTGCACAGTCAAGATGAAGTGATCTTCCGGATGCTGGCTGGTTGGGCTTCTCAGCCTCCAGTTGCCGCCCGACCGCGTCAAGTCGCCCGCCAGGGGGCGCTCGCCGAGCCGCGCGTCGCTCTCGCCCGTCCGGTCGGCGCCGTGCTCCTCGGACTGTGATATGGCGACACCTGGTGGTGGACACTCGGTGCTGCAGCCCGTGCTTATAAGGGTAAGTCGTGCAGCTGATCGTATAGGTGATGCTGCCGGCTACTATAGACGATTTCTAATCATTATATTGCATGAAAATATTAATATAATTATTAATCATAATAATGCAATACATGAATTTTTATTTACTAAGATTTAATTTTTGCAATAATGATCTATTGCGAATTTTCGTTTAAAAAGATTTAATTCACGATAAAGATCTATTGCGCTATATAGCGTGTGCTTCCTAATCTCTTTCCTGTGCTCACACACGTGCGAATCTTGGCTTGGCAGAACTCGACGATGGCGTCGCTACAGCAGCGAAAGCGCAAGTACATGCGTCCCGGACGACCTCCAGCCGACCCCAGCAAGCGCGTATACTACAGCGGCCCGCAGTCCAGCTCTGACAGCGACCAGGCCCCGGCTCTGAAGCGACAACGCAAGCCCGTCGCCAGCCGTCGCCGCGCGGGAGACTGTATGCTGCAGCGTCACCGGGCGACCGTTACCGCGGAGACGACCTCCGAGATGTCAGAGGTCGAGCTGCTGCACGGATCGATGCCAGGTAGGTGGCGCCGCTGCTGTCAGTGTCCAAGTTTTCTGCTTCCCGTAGAATTTGCATTCACAGTATTTTAAATCCTATCTATCTATCTATCTATCTATCTATCTATCTAAATCTCAAATTTCTTACGTATATTTTGATAATTAATAGTTGTAATGACAAGTTTACGACTTTACACGGCAATAATATTAACTAGTGTAAGTATTCAGTATTGTCTCGTTTTTGCTCGTCCTGCAGGTGGCAGCACAGGTAAACGGTCCGACTCGGGCGAGTCATCGGAGCTGCAGCCGCTGGCGGCGGCGGCGGCCGTGCACGGCGCACGTGTGGTCAGCAAAGCGCAGGTCAAGGAAGAGACACCGGCCATTAGGCGGCGCGGCTGGCCGAAGGGCGTTCCCCGCGGCAAGAAGGTCGTACTGGCCAAGCAGTCGCCCGGCCGACCAGGACGACCCCGCAAGGTAGGTGGCGCACCCTGTGTGCGGTCCCTTCAGTTGGAAGTTCTGTTCGTCAGTTCTGAGTCGGACTTGAATTTCTAGTCCTTGCTGATTCATATTTAACGATGTGATTTAATAAATGTGTATTATATATAAAATATGTGTGGAGGGAGAAGGAGGCTGGGAGAGGGAGAAGGAGGCAGGGAGAGGGAGGATGGGAGAGGGTGAGGATGCGGAGGGAGAAGGAGGCTGGGAGAGGGAGAGGGTGCGGAGGGAGAAGGTGGCTGGGAGAGGGAGAAGGAGGCTGGGAGAGGGAGAGGGAGGTTGCGGAGGGAGAAGGAGGCTGGGAGAGGGAGGGTGTGGAGGGAGAAGGAGGCTGGGAGAGGGAGGAGGAGTGTGGAGGGAGAAGGAGGCAGGGAGACCGGAGATGTGCAGTATGAAGCTAAAAGAGCATGAAGGGGAGTGTACAAGAGGGGCGAGGAGGCTGGAATAGTGAGAACAGGGAGAGACAGAGTGAGGGAGAGAGTGTGCATGCGTGCATGCACATGCATGTGTCTGTGTGTCTGTGTGTGTGTGTGTGTGTGTGTGTGTGTGCGT